CAAAACAAAAAACAAGAAATTCGTATAACTGGAACATTAACCAAGCCTCTGAATATTTAAAATTGATTCAACTTTAACTTTTTATCTCGTTTATGCCTAGGATTGGTACTAACTATTATTAATACAAATATTTTTATATTATAGTGTAATGTTGAATAAACAAATAATTTTATAACGGTGCTATTCGAAGTAAATTCATACTAACCTGCAGAAAACAAAAATATAAAAATATTCGTCTGCCATCCCCCACCCCCGGGGCATGGCAGAAACCTACGGGTGCCCCATTCGAAATTCTGCCAAAAACAAACACACACGTGTTCCCCCCTACCGTCCCAAAAATATACAATACAAACCTACAATACAAATCCTACTACAGCTAATGGCCTCAGTTGCCGAAGCTTAAGATCAATAAAAAAAAAAAATATGGGCATTTTAAATTTTATATTCATACTAGTCAGTATTAAAACATAGTTATCAAAATATAAAGATTACAAAATCGTTTTTAGTTTTAGAAACCGAGAATTTAGATCTCAAGTTTTTCTTCGATTCTCTTTTAACTAATGTGAATGTCATTTGTCATACATGGGTGCAATGTCTGCAAATTCACGGGCCTTTGTCTAGGGGAAGCTCATGAATAAAAATTTAAGCGTATTTTTAAAAGATTTGTTGAAAGATTTAACTATAAGTATGTAATTGTTTTGTAACCATTGTTTTATTATTATTGTGATTGATCGTTATATAATATTTATTTTCATGTATTTATAATAATAATATGTTATTTTAATTTTTTTTTTATTTTCAGATATTTTAATATATGTTAGTTAAACATAATATTATTATGTATAACTCATCACTTTTTGGGAATCATTCATATTTTTTATTATTATTATACACTTTATTTATATTACATATATTTCTATAGGTACCTCCCACGAAATATAATACTTACCTTGTTAACATTATAGAAACAATATTTTTGACAGTTAAGTTGTTTAGTTTTTAGAACTATGACTATAGTATACCTATATAGTGTGATATATTTAGTCCTATTTAAAATGTTTTGCCGTTATTGTATAAATATGCAACGATTTTACCTATTGCTGATGCGTAGACGTTTTAAAAAATTTATTTGGACGTCGTAGACACTAGAGACTAGACAATACCTAATATTTAAACAATATGTATAAGTAGGTATATAATAAAGCACTACTATAAACGTAGACAGACCATAATATTTTGCCTCAAATACTGGAATATAGGTTATAACTTATAAAGAATAGCGATAATCGGCGTGACTGTTAGATTGAAATACATCAATAATCAATATTATACAATAGGTATAATGTTATATCTATACGACACCGTAAAATAGGTTAAAATCGGTCCTTCAACCTTATTAGTTATCATACTAAGTATATTTTATTAAACGTAATATAATATAATGCTATTATGTAGTATTCTATTTTAATATTAATACGGTATAATATGATGAATTAATTTTTGACAGAGATATTGCATTTGTTTTAATATAGTAATATATTATATTAATATATATTTTGTATCATATAATATTATTATTATTCGAGTTTGAGTCGACATCGACCTGCCGTATAACGGTGTGGATGATATTATGTTCATGGTATAATTAATAGTCAACGGTACCCGTTATAAAACTAATCCAAATATTTTGGAAATGTTATAACATAACGCATATTGTAAAATATAATAAAAAGTACATGTAAATGTAATCCTCAGCAAATAATATTGTTGAACCACAATACCTACAAAGTAACTTCAATCGTTATTCTTCGTTTAAATATCGAAGTTCGTCTACGTTTAAACTAAAAATGTGTATTAAAAAATTGTTATTATTTATTTATTAGATTTATATATAAATGGGTAAGCATGAATAGTTTTAGCAATACATCCACGGAGGGGGCTTAGGAGTGCTTAGCCCTTCCAGAGTTTATGTTTATAAATTGATTATCTAATGATGTCTCCTACTCTCCTTAAACAAATAGACAAGTCAAATGATCCAGATGTTGTTGTTTTATCTAAGATCCAACAATTTAAGAACATTTTAGGTTTTGAAGATATTTGTTAACGCTTTACTTGATGTGTGCACGGAATTATAATAAGAATGTATTTGAACGCTATGCACAATGCGATGAATAACCAGACTTTTTCGTTATACCAAAAAGAGTATGAAATGTCTCACTCTCGGCTCATTAGACGTGAATTATTTATTAAATATTTATTTTCCCATTTGACTATTGGCCCCCGGCAATCACCGTGTAGCCGGGTGGGCCAGACTTACTCCAAGCCTTCCAGGTTGATGTGCGATGCGCCAATAATAGATGACAATGACACTATGACAGTGCGCTGACTTAATCTTATTAGTATAATATCTAGATTCTAGAGTTATAATGTCTGTGCACTAAAAAAATAAATAAATATGTATGTACTGATGTAATAAATAAAAAGCTAAATATATGCATGAAACAACAAACAAATATTTTTAATTTTAATTTTTCAATGAATATTAAAAAGAAATTATTTAAATACATATATATATATATATATATATAATTACAAGCTCATCTAACATTATATGGTATATCTCTGAGTATCAATATAGAATTCCTGACAAAACATAAGTGACTGTTTTTATAATATAATCGGTATAAAATACAGCTACACAGGTGCAAACTCAATTTCAGTTTTATGATTAATTATATTTTTCTAAGATACTAACCCTAATAATAAAGTATAATGAATATAAATTGTACGTTAAAGAAAAATGACTATAAGTAATATTATGAAATATATATGTAGGTAGACACACCAGGTGTATTACACCAGGCGTGTATTACACCTATATCTATAATTGTTACAATTCTTAACTGCAGTTAAAATATAATAATATTAGGTACACCACAAGTACTAATAAATTAATTTCACTGTATTAAATTTAACAAATCTTGATGTAAGTAATTTAATTCTACGGATTCTTAGATTTTTATGAATTGCACCACCAATTAAGGAAAAGGATAAATACTCTTAGCTTAGCACACTTAAATGGATATTTAGACCAACTTTATTATATTACATATTTTATTTGAATCTTCTTTGAATGTTCATACTACAAAATATATAAAAATTATATTAAAATAGTTGTAAGTACTGCCATTGGTTATAAATACTACTATTTAAAAACAATTTTAGGTACTACTTTAACGTTTAACTCAATTATTTTATTTAACAACAAAATAAGTAGATTGAAGTAGCCACTGGCTACAAGCTAGGTAGGTGGGTCTACTATTAGTATTATTACAGCTGTATTTAAACTACAAATTAATACTACGATGGCTTTATTATTATAAATAATATTATATCGCAATATTAAACCACATAGCTGCCTACTGGTTTTTTCCTTACTCCTATACCTGCCTACATTTGGTAGGTATTTCATAATAATTAAGACGCCTTTAAATGTCCAAGATAAATAATAACGGTCTCGCATATATATGATACACCTGTATGTATGCAACATAATATTTAAATAAGTAACAATTAAAATTATATTTACAAAATATTATACTGCAATATTACACTATTATTGTGGTAGGTATATATAAAAAACAACTCATTAAACCTTTTGCAAAAAAAAAAAAAAAATATATGTAAACGATATTAGTATAATATATGTATATATACTGCTATCTTGTTTATATCATCAATGATTACGAAGTAGGTTATACGGGGTGATACATTTTATATAAGATATTCAGTAGGTATTTTAAAAAACTGCACAATAACGTTTTTGAAGATATTCGTCTTGCGTAATCTCAGGTCTTCACAAAACCACCTTTTTTAGAAAAAATAGTATATTTCACTATTTTTTATCATTAGGTATCATGTACTGAAATGATTTTTACTTTTTTAAATGACAACAAAAGTACCTATTCAATTTCATATTCCAAGGCACAATCTTATTCAATATTTATAGAAAATCGATCCATAAAAATCAAATATCGAACAACTAACAAGAGGTTCATTATAATAAGATTTAAGGATGGTAATATTCTAGGTTAGATGAGTAGAATATTGGAACAATATTTTGTGGGATATCCTACACCACTCCACTATCCACTCAGCACTCTTAAACACTTAAACTATATAATGCCCAAATTCAAATAACCTAAAAACTATCAAAATATTATTTGAAAAATAACCATCCATGATCTAGAAGATACCTATAGAATATGCCTCTTCAATGTAATAATGAAATAAAAAAATTATCTTAATTTTTTTTCCATAGGCACTCGAGTACCTACTTAATTGAGAGTAAAACGATGGTTTAATCTTCGGCATTTCAAAATTTCATTGATTTAGACACGATATCGGGAGCGATATTATTTATATGAAAAGTCCAAATTATTGAAATTTTTTTTGCAGGTGGAGCGTTTTTCTCTGAGCGTCCCTAGCCTACTTTAAGTCGTACACTTCAAACACCTCGTCCAAAATTTGATTTACATATAATATAATATATCGGAGTAATACAAAAATGGATCACCCGGTATAATGGTATATTATTATAATATAGACTTTCGGCGGCGGCGACCGGTTGACGAATTTTCGCTGCGAGGACGCAATATTTATCATCTACATCGTCATCATTATTATTATTTATTATTGAAATGAGCCGTCTGACGGGACGGTCGACGTCTCGCGTCTGCCGCACAGTGCACACATCAATAAACCGGTTTCGGCGGCGGCGGCGGCGGCCGATCCGCATCACCAGAAACCGCCGCGAACGGTTTTAGAGGCGAGCGAGTGGCGGCGGCGGCGGCGGCGGCGGCGGCGGCGGTTCCCTCGTAATTTTATCTGCGGCCGTTTTCCCCCTCTCCCCGTCACCGGCCGACGACGAAGCCACCACGGACCGCACACACACGCACAGGCACACACGCGTCGACTGCACACCGGATGGGTCTTTGTTTACTACCACGGCCGTCCGTAGTCCGTACACAGATGATAGCCGTTGTCGCCGCCGCCGCCGCCGCCGCCGCAACGTTTGCCCCGTTCGCTTTTTCCAACCGTTTTTTTTTTCTCGTCCGCGCCGTTTTACCCCGTCGGTCGACGATACTCCGAACCGTCCGGAAACGATCGTAACAATATCGTTCTATCGTTTGTTGTCCCCGCTTAGCCGGTCGTCGTCGGTGGTTCATTATCATATTTTATTATCGTCGTTATCGTTATCGTTCGGTGGTGGAGGTAGTGCCCGTCGTCGGGAGCAAAATCGACTGTGCCCGCACATCGCGACAATATTATTATTAGTCAAATACGTTTGAGGCACCCACTCGGGCTGGTACTTGCCGCATTTTCCGACCGTGTCCGATTCGCCTCCGACAACGTGAAAACGCCGCAACGACTGCTGCGACCCACCGCTTCTACTTCTCCGACCGCAGCTGCTCTCGGGTGCCCGCCAATGTCGAGCACGGTGGTGGCTTGTCGACGGGCCGCGAATCGACGCGGCGATGTGGCCGTCGTCGGTCTCTTCGATTAGAACAGTGTTATCGTCACATCGCACTGTTGCTGTGCTCAAGACGCCGGTGATGCGACTGCGACACAATGAAAGTCACCGTCTGCTTCGGTTCAACTAGGGTCATCGTCCCCTGTGGACGTGGAGAAATATTGGTCAGAGATCTAATTCAACAGGCCATCACTAGATACAAGAAAGCCACTGGAAAGGTGAGTCACACAGTACTAACATCTCAATGTTATCGCAATAGATAGTCACTAACAGTCATTTCTACGTTTACGTATGGATAGGTGCTTAATATGTTTATGTGGTGTATGGTTTTGTTGTGGATATTAGAGAGAATAGGTAGTGTTCTTTTTGTCAATCCAACATTCTCTATAACTGCCAAATGTATGGATATTTGACTACTTTAACATTAACAATGTTATGTCAGAAAACAATGTTTGAGTAACTGATTTAGGTAGGTACAATCATATAGGTATCTAAATCTAGGTAACAACATCTGCCTTCGTATTGTGGTTAGAGTGATCTGGATCTATTCAACAGTCAACCGAGATTTCTGCTGTTGCAATATTACACATTATTTATAGGTAGGTAGGTAGGTAGGTAGGTAGGTAAACCATATTATGAAGTACCCCTATCTGGCCGATCTATCTAATAGGCTTGCTAATAGGCATGATGCATTATTAAAAATTGATTATATTATATTGAATTTTTGTGATGTATATTTAAACTGATAAGTGATCACATAATTGTAGGAAGGTTGTAGGTATCCGGATAGGTATCTATAATAATATCAATTAACAAATAACAGTTGCAATTTGTCTTAAACAAGATAAAAGGCTTAAAGAATGATGTAAAATGTAATTTTATGTCTGTTAAACAAGTATATTATCTTCTGTAATATGGACAAATAGAAACTAAATATATTTTCATATACCTATTTAAGAGTAAAAATTGCTTGGAAATTTTTATTTACTTTAGTAGGAAAGTTACGTTTTAAGTTAGGATAGTTTCATATTAATTAATATTCTGGTACACTATTCTTGATAAGAAAGAATTTATGTTACAAAATGTATACCTTTAATTAGATCCCTATTCCTTAGACCAACCTAATTTAAAATAAATATCTTGGTATTTATAAAAATACTATCATACAATTAGTACCTACATCCTGCATGGTTTACCATTTCTTCTCATTTTAAGTCACTAAGTCATTTAATAGCACCACCATACTTATTCATCTTTCTTTTTGTTTCAAGCTACCCAGTGGTTTTTGTTATAGATATTGACCATTAGGCAATGGAGTTAGTACTTAGAACCAATGTATCAAAAACAATCCACATAGACCCGACATTATCTATTACGCTTGATTAGTTGCTATCTTATTTATCAAGTTATTAATTTAATAGTGTAATTCTGATGCACCGAGGAGATTATTCAGTTTAAGGCAGTTACAAAGTTACATTTTAGAAAATTTATTAATTTTAAGATTCATTTAAATTAGAACTAAAATTCAATGGACCAATTCTAGTGCCAATTATGAACCACTACAATGATATAGTTTGAGCTTGAGTTTAAGAGACTATTAGCTCACCATTGATTCATTAAATGTTTTCCAAGGGATTGTTTGTGCAACTTGACATTAATTTATTAACTGCATACCTACTTATCCAACAAACTTTTCAAATCATTAGATTTAAATAATAAGTTGTAGCCGAGGTTGTAGCCTTTGGCATTCTAGCAGGTATTGTGTAATAATTTATATTTCTACCAGAAGTTAGAGTAACTGTCTACCAGATTATGTGGGTACTATATAACCTACAGTAGGTATTTTCCTTGGTATCTTTACATACATTTGAAATTTAATGAAACAAATACATTTTATTGATTTTCAACAAGATTGTCAAGTATTATTATAGATTCTTAAATAATACTTACTGTCTTATATTTTGTATTCGGATAGGTACTAGATATTTGATATTTCAAAATATAACCTAAGAAGGTATATGATTGATACAGAAAAAAAATTGAATGTGCAATAACTTTAATGAATTATATAGTTCCTTGTGAAGTCCTAAGTTCTAATTACTTTTTAATCTAAAATTAAATAATGATTGAAAGCTTGATAAACTCTTACAAAATAGTAGAAGAATTGTTCACTAGCTTTAATTTATGATTGCTATTCTAGGAATGTATAAAAATAGTGAGTAACTACCAAAACATCTGTTTTTATAAACCATAAATGGTAGTCTACAAGCTGAGTAAGATGGTCATATAAGATTATGTTACAGGAAAACATCAAGTGCACTGTATCAAGGATTTTAACATGGGTACTGATATAGTTGTAATTGAAATATTACTCATCTAAAATATTATGTTTTTTAGTAGGTACTTATCTACTCATTGTTAATATCATGTTATTTACTTAATTATTACTCATAACAAATGTATACATTTATAATTCAGCTTATAATCAAGGCATTTATTAGAAAATAAATGTGAGTATGTTTAAAAAAATGATAATATGATGTGGACCCAAATGTAAACCTAAATATTAAAAAAAAATATATAAGTTGAACAATGTTAAACATTATTAGCCTCAACCCGCTAGGTATCTATGCTTTTTTATACATATATTAATAAAACAGTTCAAATTGTGAGTGTAAAGCTGTTTACGAATCTAATAAGTAATATTTGGAATAATATGTTGTAATAGCCAAATAAAACTAAACATCATACCAACTCTTATTAATTATATATTTTTTCTAAGAGGTTCTTATAATAGTAACAATAATGACAAATAATCTTTTTTAAAAACTTGCAGATAGTTTTGTATAAAATATAATAGTAAATATTTACCTACCTTGCTTAATTTTTCCAAATGCCTACCTTGTTGCCTGCATTTATTTACAATATTTTGTTTAAAATCACAAAATATTGTTATCTTTATTGTTATACCTACTTACTAAAATATTTTTTCCTCGTATATTATAATTTGTAGGCAGGTAGGTATCTACTTATTGATTATATGATTTATGGCCCTCATCATCACCCATATAACTAAATCCTTTTATTATTAAGTATTTTAAACAGAATTGAAACTATTATATTGTACATATTATAAATTATTTTAAGTATTGTTGGGTGAGAACCTAAGACTAAAAATATTGATATTATATCCAAATATTTTATATTGGTATATTATGTTAGAACGTGTTTATATAAACGACAATTTGAACTTTTTTGTTGTAGGTACAATATTGGTAATATATTTTCATAGGAGCCTATTTATCCTCTAGTCTATACCTACTTCTAGTATTTACAGATAATTTTCAAATAACTAGAGCTTGTCTATTAATTCATGAAAATGAATAGCTCGATTTACTTTATATTTCTTATTTATACATACTCTGGTAAATACAGTTACACATATTATTATTACCTACATTAAAAAATCGTTTAATTAGATATGAATGTAAATATTTTTGGAGAGGATTGTATTTGTTTTACTTAACTCAACACTAGCTAATATCCTTGTAAGTATCTACTGCATATTTGTATTTTTGGGACCTGGTATATATTTGAAAGCAATGACAAATCATGAACAACAAGAACTCAGATAGTTTAAATAGTATCAATAACAGAATATTATGACTCAAATAGTAAATTGATAATTAGAGCTATAATAAAAAAAAATATAAAATATAATTTATTAATGATAAGATGTATACAATACAGATAAAGTAACTAACATATTGTGTTCATGGGCGTAAATAAAACAAAATATGTGTGTTTAGTGTATACAAATAAAATAGCAGTATTTCAAATAAAAGTCCAAATAAATCATAAAACATATAATGTGAAATATTAACATATTTCCTAAAATTGCAGGATACTATAATGTGAATTTATTATTTCTTCACAGTTAGATAGTAAAACTATTATAATTTTTCAAATTGTTAACACTTGTAAGAAAAATTACAAGTAGCTAGTCATTAGGTAAAACTTTGGTATTTTTTTAAAAGAATAGTTGAACACTAAAGTTGTAAGGTTTTTGATTAAAAACAGAAAAAGACGATTGTAAATTGTTGACATCAAAATTGTATACCTACTTTTAAAGAGACAAAAGTACCTATTTGTTAAAGTTTTCAAAAGTGTATATTTTCTGTAAGTCTTTAAAATGTTAAAAACGTTTAAAATTTCTAACACGTCTAATTCGTTCTTTAGAATTATCAATTTATTAGTTGCTAGAACATGATATGAATATATGATTAAATCCCAATTTAAGTATAACCTACTTAATTTAACAGTTTGTTTCACTTTAAAAGGTTTTTTTCTTCAAAAATCCTACAAATTCTATATTTAATGTACATATCATATTACGAGTATTATCGGTGTTCTGTTTACATTCGAGGGGCTATTAACCTTCAAGCTATTACAGTTCATAGTACGTCTTCACTTTTCAGTCAATACATGACCCCTGTTGTCTGTAGATTAATTATTTTCTGTAGAGCATTTCTTCAACAAAATTCTTAATGCCCATAGAAACGTGTCATTTTAAGAAGCCGTGTTAAGGCAATTCTTTTGTTCCTTGCGGTCACTGCTTGTCTTTGTGTGTGTGGTAAATTATCATTAGTGTGTTTATGATCCCCACCAATAACCGACATCATACATTTTACGTATCCTCATGCACATGTCAGTCAGTCATTAGATCAAAATATACGAAATCAATTTCTCGACGAGTAAAAGCAATTCTATAGGTACGCCTGATAAAAAGTGTAGTGCTTCTAAAGGTACGATTTAAAAATGTTAAAATGTTTGAATGCACAAACAAGATTTCTTTGCATCCGTCTGAGCACATTTTCAAATTATTGACGGAATAAATATTTCAAATTTTATCGATTTTTATTTTTGTTATACATATTGAATATATGTTCCGACCGATGCAAAGTAAATTTTTTTTTTATCCTAATCTTTTAATCATCTACATTTTTTAAATAAAACCACTTTTAACTTCCTTAATTTTTGTCAGTCTCTAAGGCCATTATGATGAAAAATTGATAGGGTTTTCAGGGGTCTTGACTAAATGTATAGTTGATTGAAATATATTAGAATTTGATCGACATTAAAATAGTCAATATTATGTTTTATTAATTAATAATTACATAGAATAGACACTAAGTATTTTCTCAAAATAAACGACTGA